TATCTTAGGTGTATTCTTCCTTTCCTTTGCATTTGCTTCAAGAGTTGTAAAGCAAATCAGACCCATAATTAAATTTGGCTCTGTGAGATTAATAAGCATATAGTGAATGATTTAAATAGTTACTAACCAAATGCTTCATTTTCAGACAGAGACTTCTGGATGGATCTAAAAGAATTAAAAGAATTAACCATTAGCTAAAAGTCAGAATGACAAATGAAAGCACATTTAATCAAATATGGTTATTTTCAAACTAATTCTTCAATTCCCAGGGATTTGGCTGTGCAATTCATACTGGCTTCAATTGGAGTTAGTTGTCTTTCTTCATTCACCCAGTCATTACTTCTGCATGCCACAGAGGGCTCTGAAATCTTTTGAGTTTTCACTTTGTAAAAGTATTTTATTGAAGTTTCTTTTTGTAACAGGGATCTCATGACTGAATTAGGGAGGCCATCAGAAGGAGAATAAGAGATACATTTCTTCAGACATGATCTGAAATGTCCTGCAACTTACAGAAATTATTATCTGAAGTTTGGTGACATGATAATAAATCAAACCAAACAGCTACAGAAGAACATAAATAACCCACAGGCTATACGGGGACATTTTATTGCTCCAATAAACCTTGACCTCTTTGCATGTTTACATCAAGATATAATGCTAACTCATGCTTCCATCTGCAGTGAGTGGTTCAAAGGTCCTTACACAAAGAATACGTTAACAGAAGAAAAAAAATCTCAGAATACACCCTCGGGTGCAGACGGAGCTGGCCGGGGTGATTGCTGAGCCGCTCTCGGCCATCTATCAGCGCTCCTGGTTAACTGGAGAGGTCTCAGAGGATTGGAGGCTTGCTGATGTGACTCCCATCTTCAAGAAGGGCTGTAAGGAGGATCTGGGGAACTACAGGCCTGTCAGCCTGACTTCGATACCGGGGAAAATAATGGAGGAAATCATCTTGGGAGAGATCGCATGGCATGTGCGTGGTGTCCAGGGGATCAGGCCCAGCCAGCACGGGTTCATGAAAGGCAGGTCGTGCTTGACAACCTCATCTCCTTCTATGACTGAGTGACCAGACTGGTAGATGAGGGAAAGGCTGTTGATGTAGTCTACCTAGACTCCAGCAAAGCCTTTGACATGGTCTCTCACAGTATTCTCTTGCAGAAACTGGCTGCCTGTGGCCTGGACAGATATACCCTTCTTTGGGTAAGGAACTGGCTAGAGGGCTGTGCCCAGCAGGTAGTGGTTAATGGAGTTAAGTCCAGCTGGTGACCTGTTTCAAGTGGTGTCACCCAAGGGTCGGTACTGGAGCCTATCTTGTTTAATATCTTTATTGATGACCTAGACAAGGAGATTGAGTGTACCCTCAGTAAGTTTGCAGATGACACCAAGTTGGGAGGTGGTGTGGATCTGCCTGAGGGTAGGGAGGCCCTTCAGAAGGACTTAGATAAGCTGGATCACTGGACTGAGGTGAATGGGATGAGGTTCAACAAGGCCAAGTGCCGGGTCCTGCATTTTGGCCACAACAACTCCATGCAGTGTTATAGGCTTGGGGACAAGTGGCTGGATGACTGTGAAGAGGAAAGGGACCTGGGGGTGTTGGTTGATGCTCGGCTGAACATGAGCCAACAATGTGCCTAGGTGGCCAAGAGGGCCAGCGCCATCCTGGCCTGCATTAGAAATAGTGTGGCCAGCAGGAGCAGGGAGGTGATCATCCCTCTGTATTCAGCACTGGTGAGGCCACACCTCGAGTATTGTGTTCAGTTTTGGGCCCCTCACTACAAGGAAAACACTGAGGCCCTGGAACGTGTCCAGAGAAGGGCAACAAAGCTGGTGAGAGATTCTGGAGCACAAGTCTTATGAGGAGCGGCTGAGGGAGCTGGGATTGTTTAGTCTGGAGAAGAGGAGGGTCAGGGGAGATCTCATTGCACTCTACAACTTCCTGAAGGGAGATTGTGGTGAAGAGGGGTTTTGCCTCTTCTCCCAGGAAACGAACAGGACCTGGGGAAATGGCCGCAAGTTGTACCAGGGGAGGTTTAGGTTGGACATGAGGAAAAACTTTTTCTCTCAGAGAGTGGTCAGGCACTGGAATGGCTGCCCAGGGAGGTGGTGGAGTCGCCATCCCTGGCAGTGTTCAAGAGGCGCCTGGATAAAGAGCTACGAGATATGGTTTAGTCTGTGGTAGCAATGGTAATGAGAGGACAGTTGCGCTAGATGATCTTACAGGTCGTTTCCAACCTTGTGATTCTATGAACACAGATTTATCCTGTATATTAATTTGTTTCACTTTACCCATTAAAAACAAAAACAAAAACCAAAAAAACCAACCAACTTATAGTAACTTTTGAGCTAGAGGATGAAGCTAGAAGATTATACTAGATAAGTCTGGAGACTCTTTAAGCTGTGACAACAATAAGCAGAAGGGAAAGAACAAAAAAATTGAGATCACTCTCCCATACTCAAGCAGGTGGTGAAGGGTTTTCTGAATGAGAAGATACAACTTAACTATTGTTTCATCTGTGAACACTAGTTCCTTTTGAAACTGCTTAGAATTTTTTTCATTTCCAGAGATTCACTATTATTTTACTGTTTATAAACAGCATGCTTCTGTTACTTCTGCTACTGATATTCATTGTTCTCCTCCTTGTTGCCCTGATGTAAGGAAGAGAATGATAATTTGCCTGCTGTAAGTGAAGATCAGGTTCAAGACCATCTAAAGAATCTGAAGGTGCATAAGTCCATGGGACCTGATGAGATCCATCCCTAGGTTCTGAGGGAACTGGCAGATGAAGTTGCCAAGCCATCATATTTGAAAAGTCATGGCAGTCTGGTGAAGTTCCCACTCTTTGGAAAAGAAGAAACATAACTCCCACTGTCAAGAAGGGAAAAAAAGAAGATCCAGGAAATTACAGGCCAGTCAGCCTCACTTCTCTGCCTGGCACAATCATGGAGCAGATCGTCCTTAAGGTTCTACTAAGGCACATGGAAATTAAAGACAAGGTGATTGGTGGTAACCATGGTGTCACCAAGGGCAAGTCATGTCTGACTAACTTGGTGGCCTTTTATGGTGGAGTTACAGTGTCAATGGATAAAGGAAGAGCAACTGATATCATCTACCTGGACTTGTGCAAAGTGTTTGACACTGTCCCACATGACATCATGGTCACCAAATTGGAAAAAAAAATGGATTTGATGGATGGATTATCCTCTGGATAAGGAACTGGCTGGATGGTCACACTCAGAGAATTGCAGTCAGTGGCTCAGTGTCCAAGTGGAAACCAGTGATGAGTGACATTCCTCAGGGTATTGGGACTGGTGCTATTTAATATCTTTTTAGGCAACATGGACAGTGGGATCAAGTGCACCCTCAGCAGGTTTGCAGATGACACCAAGCTGAGTGTTGCAGTTGACACATAAGAGGGAAGAGATGCCATCCAGTGGGACCTGGACAGTCTTGAGAGGTGCACCTATGCCAACCTCATGAAGCTCAACAAGGCCAAGTGCAAGGTCCTGCATCTCAGTCAGGGCAATCTCAAGCACAGGTACAGGCTGGGAAGAGAATGGTTTGAGAGCAGTCCTGAGGAGAAGGATTTAAGGGTAATGATGAAAGATTCAACATGAATGGGCAATGCGTGCTTGCAGCCCAGAAAGTATCTTGGGTTGCATCAAGAGAATTGTCACCAGCAGGTTGAGGGAGGTGATTCTGCCCTTCTTGTGAGACCCCACCTGGAGTACTGCATCCAGTTCTGGAGCCCTAAACACAAGTAGGACATGTAGTAGTTAGAACAGGTCCAGAGGAGGGCCACAAAGATGAGCAGAGGGTTAGAGCAACTCCCCTGTGAGGACAGGCTGAGAGAGCTGGGGCTCTTCAGCCTGGAGAAGGCTCCAAGGAGACCTTACAGCAGCCTCCCAGTATTTGAAGGAGGCCTACAGGAAAGCTGGGGAGGTGCTTTTTATAAGAGCATGTAATGACAAGATGAGGGGAAATGGTTTTAAACTAGAAGAGGGTATACTTAGACTAGATATCAGGAAGAAACCCTTTAATGTGACAGTGGTGAGACACTGGAACAGGATGCCCAGTTTGGTTGTGGATGCCCCCTCCCTAGAAGCATCCAAGGCCAGGCTGGATGGGGCTTTGAGCAACATGGTCTAGAGGGAGGTGTCCCTGCCTATAGCTGGGGAGACAGAACTAGATGATCTTAAAGGTGCTTTCCAACCCACACCATTCTATGATTCTATGATTCTGTGCTTTCTCACTGTGCTTTCTCCGTATCTATGGAAAAGGCCAATCAAAAATTGCTACATTATCAAGTAGGAGTTTGATATCAGTACAGTGATGACTGAACATTCACAGCAAAATAATATTTGAATGCAATTCACACTGGGTGAAATTGTCTTTATATTGATTATTCAAGTGATCAAGACAACCTTTCTAAATTCTGATTAATTAAATGGAATTGAGTTAGTTTTAGAATAAAATAATATTATTTGCATTGTAAGATTTGAGAGTGGAACCACAGATTACTATTCCTATCACTAGGGTAGATTTGATACTGAACTAAGCAGATGTCTCAGGCAGCTTCATATTTGGTAGCTCTTTTAAATTATTTATGCTGCGGCAATTCCATGCCAGCATACACAGCAGTTTAGCTTCCTTAAAAGTATTAAATGGTGATCAGAAAAAATGTGAATAACAGAGTTATATCCTTACTTAGATAAATGGAATTTTGGAAAGGAAGAGCATTTTCACAAAGCCCTTTCTGGTCACAAATAACTAAGATCTCAAAGCTCTGAGTGTACATGTCTGTGTTTCAAGCCAGTAAGTTACTAGTAGTTGTAACTGACAACGAAAACCAGATGAAAACTGTCTATTACGACAAATGAGATTTTCACTGAAGTTATTATCTATTTTGAAATTTATCAGCAACATACAGAGATGGCATTGATGATCTGAATTTTATGATGCCCCTCATAAAAAAGAAAAAAATAGAATGACGCCCAAGGATTTTCATGCCACAGCCAGACAGATAAGATCTGTGTTTATCATTCCATTAGGCAGGATTTCATTTGAAGGGAACTTCATCGGTAATGCAAAAACTGCTAATCTCAAGACAAAAAAAGAAATTTTTAAAATAAACTCCTCTGCTTGCTAATATATTAGTCCAAACTGGTATTGTGCCTTAACAAATGGACATGAAGTATGCTGCTGCCTCAAATGTATTTGATTAAATAAGGTCTGTCCTGCTTAATCTGAATCATTTTGCAAACTAATTTCTTATTTGGATTTAAAAAGTCAAACAACTCTTCAGGAGATTATCAGGTCAATGGTACAAACATTCTATAAAATAGGTTACTACTTCAATCTTTCAGAAAAGTGGGCATACGGTTAAAACAAGCTCAGATTAACTGCATTTGATTTGAGCTATCCTGGTCCCAATATTTTGTAAGAAAGATTTACATATATGAAAAAAATAACAGCAAAAAAGCTTTACTAATATTACAAGTTTGTTACTTACTTCCCAAATGCAATATTAATACATGTACTCTGAAAATTAATGTAACATTGGCAAACACATTAACAAAACAACAAGGGTGATAGGAACAGATAAATATAGTGACACTGTGTAGACCTTGAATTGGTCTCAACTTACTTTCTCTTTTTGGTCACTGTGTTCTCAAAATCAGGAAATTCCTTTAAAAAAAAAAAACAGAGAAAAGATATGAAAATCATAATTTTTAATCAAAATATAGTATTTTCCTCACTGTAAGGACAGTGCAAGATGGTTTTATGCACATTTGATATGTGTTTTTAATATCCACTAGTATTCAACAAGTGAAGCTATGGAGGACACAGTGCAGGAGAGAATATGCGTAAGTAAGTGTCCTGGATTCTCAGAGATTTCAATATCAATGGCTCCCAAGAAGTTGACACTGACAGCTGTAATATGGCTGAAAAAAGAGAGCACAGTACTCTTACATTAAAAATGGGTATTTCCAGCACAATACGATTCTTTTAAATGCTGCCTCCAAAATGTAAAATTTGATGAGGATAAAATGCTCACAAATTACAATGGGATGAATCTTTCTAATGGACACAGAAAGATGCAGACTCTCTAATTCCCTTACATGCAGAGGATGTGATCGTCCCTCCGTACTCAGCACTGGTGAGACCGCATCTTGAGTACTGTGCTCAGTTTCGGGCCCTTCACTGCAAGAAAGATATTGAGGCCCCGGAACATGTTCAGAGAAGGGCAGCGAAGCTGGTGAGGGGTCTGGAGCACAAATCTTATGGGGAGCAGCTGAAGAAACTAGGATTATTCAGTCTGGAGGAGGCCTCTTCTCGCATGTAACTAACAATAGGAATAGAGGGAACGGTCTCAGGTTGTGCCACAGGAGATTCAGGTTGGACATTAGGAAATACTACTTCTCCAAAAGTGCAGTCAGGCACTGGAATGGGCTGCTCAGGGAGGTAGTGGAGTCACCAATACTGGAGGTGTTCAAGAAATGTTTAGATGATGTACCGAGAGACATGTTTGAGTGGGAACTATTGGTGATAGGCAGACTGTTTGACTGGATGATCTCGGAGATCTTTTCCAACCTTGGTGATGCTGTGATTCTATAACAGAGTGGGAAACAAGACAAGTTAAACTGAAAGCTGTGTAAGCCAGCCTGAATGGCACAAAAGCAGAATATAATACCAGGCTTGAAACAAGATCATACAGCTGCAGGGGCTCAGCTGCTGGGCTCATGCCTGTTTTTGATGAGCATGAGCATTGGCTGAATATGTGCTTAAATGTTCTTTCATCATCTGGTTCCTCTTCTCCCCCTGTGCCACTCAGAAATTCTCAGGCCTAGTTATCTGGGTACTAATGGATTAGCTAGTCCTTTTTTGGAGACCAGGCATCATGGGCTGGCAAGTGCAGAGTCTAAGGCTTTCTTTAAATGTAGAAAAAGGAAAGAGGTGGCAAGATGTGGAAAGGAAGAGAAAGGTTGTGTGTGTGTTGAAAGACTGAACAAAAGGGTACCTCACTCCACAAGGAATGCTGTAATTTCTCACTGCTATCATAGATACCTTGGAACTTGAAGTTAATTTTAACTTTGAGAAAACCTGAGGATGTCATTCTAGGGTAGAAGAGATCTCAGTACTATTTTGATCTTTCTTAAGACAGTATCAAAGCAATGTGTCACTTTCATATATATTTCTTCCAGCCTGGAAAGCAGAAACTGGGGTAAAAATGTCCATGATGAATGTCACTTAGATCTGCTGGGCATCAAGACACATTTAAAAACTAAATATGAAAACATCAATTTATAGATCTATTTCTCATATTCTTACATTTGATTTTTTTCCTTTATGTAATATCATCTGCACAGCTCTGACCACAGTAATTTTTAAAAAATACCAATCAGGTTGCAGGATGAAAAGCCAAAACACATACTACATAAAATGATGCAAGTGTATAACTGAGAATTTTATATTTTTTTCCTTCTCTTGGTATAATCCATCATAGATTTTTTAAGCTTCTTCTGAGAAAGCTTTTCCATTAGGAAAAGGCTCTTTTATTGCACTGAGTTTATTTTTGCAGAGTGCAAGAGGCCCCACTGGTACCTGGACATCTGTGAATGCTAATAATTGTATGCAGTTTCCACAAAATATTTTTGCAAGTATAGTTTCACTTTCAAATACTGTATGTGGATCAAAAGAGTATATACCTTTTATCCTGAAATATTGCAAGCAATGCAAGGCAAAGTTCTTACTGAAATAAAAAATAAACTTCTCAGCATGTCTTGGGACAAATCTTTTCAATTGCTCTAAAGAAATGGTTGAAAGATGTTGAAAAAGTGATTTTAAAGCTCTTTAAAAAGGGTAGCATCAACATCTCATTTAAAAACATCAACCTTTTTATCTCAAAAAAACTCATTAAAGGAAACACTATGCATGAAGGTCGGAGACCACACAGAGAACACTGTTAAGTTAGAATCTCTGTGAGAACCAGAGCAAAAAACTGGAGAGATGGCATTCTCTGAAGTTCAGTGTGGTCTCATACCTGGAAACATTATTAATTCAAGTCTGGACATGCCAAATATCTGGTGTGGAACATGTAGGTTTAATATTTGCTCTACAATTTCAAACAAATGTTTCACAACCTGTTTCCTAAAATGCAGTAAAAGATGCATGTGTAGCACTGTTTCACATGTTGAGGCAATACTGAAGAATTCATTAGATATTATGGGATGCAGTGTCACCATGGAATATGATGGTGGGTTTCGATGGGCATTTAAAAATGGCTCCTTTTATTCAGTGCACCTCTTTTTGTGATGTCTGAATCAGCTGTCTGATTGGGGTACAAAATAAATTATTCTTGTTAGTACTTACTTTTTAAGTTTTTACAGTACTTGAATACACTAGAAAATCCTACAACTGTGATCTGTGACTAAGAATTAAGCAGTTTTGCAAACATGTTTTACCTTTAATTGTAAAGTAAGCTTCATCTAAAGTCTCATCTCTACATTCTCTGAAGTTTGTCATTACCTTTTCAATGGAAACTAGATAAACTAAATGTATATGGAAACTCAATATTATGAAATTGCAATAGAGTCCTTTCCTCCCTGCTTTCATCAAATAGCTCTGAATTAAGGAATGAGTACCTCTGGTGTTTACAAGTAAGCTGAAAAAGCTAGAGCTCTTCTGTTTGTTAGACTTACAAGCAGGGAAATAATGACTTCAGGTAACTAGCCCTCTTCTTTCCCCCAGTGGAATCAAATGCCAGTTATAAAGTAGGTAACGTAACTGCTTTTTGTTTTGATGACAATAACTTAGAAAGACTGATAAATTATTTGGCATTTTTCTGATACATAGGGTAGTCGATCATTAACATTTGAAAGATATGTGGACATTTGTGATTTCAATCTGACAGGAAATGTATGAAAATATTTTTAATGTAGAAGATTTTTCTTGTGAAGCTTAACACAGGCCATGAGGTAGAATATGAAGAAATTCAGTTTCCCAGTTAATAACACTGTTAAACACAAACTGTACCTGTATGATTCATTATGCACTTTTGGCTGCATCTGAGGAAGACTTGTTTCAACACTGCTAAACTTAAGATTCAGAAAGAGCTCTGTAAATTTAATTTTTGCTCTCTGTTTGAGAAGACAACTGAAAAAGTACTGAGAAAGCACCCCAAAAGTTAACAGACATACTCCTGTGAGAATTAAAATCAATAAACAAGTGTGTATAACAGGCACAAGCCATTACTAGAGGAACTCAGATTGGGAACACCTCAGGCAAAACATTTCATATACTAAATAAGATAGAGAGAGTACATGAAAGATTATTCTTTATCAACAATGTGTTGGCATGTATTTGGCCAGAAGCAAAAATAATCACTGTTCAAAAAGGTGTTCAAAGAGTGTATTTTCTGAATTATGTCCTGCACAGCTCCAGTTGCCATAACACCCTGTATTTTCCACATCTCTGATGGAACATCACAACCCAACTATGACTGAGACAAATCACAAGAGACAAGATAACAGCAAGAAAATAACTGCTTTGCTGCAGCAGGAGGAAAAATTTCCACTAGTTCTAACTTCTATCTTCTGAATTGAGGGGAGCAGAACTTGAATGCCTGCTATGTTGATGTACAAAGTAATATGGAAAAAAGAAAGGGTGAAAATTCTCCCAAGAAAGAGAAGAGTCATGTCAAGCTGCTCCATCCTGAGGAAATATAAAAGCTCTGTGGAATCTACGTGGCCATGGCTCAGCCGATCATTTAAACATACTCTCAAGCCCATATCCATTAGTGATGCACTTAAGTATATGCATTACTGAATAATGATAGATGGCTGTATCAGGGCCTGAGGGAGCCAATACTGCTTTGAATTTATCATGCTATGGGGGCCGCCCTGCAGCACGGAACTAAGTGACGGAATTAAAAATGGGAGAGAAGTACAAATGGGCTCAGTTAATAAGCTTAACGGCTTCATCCAAGGTGTAGGTCTAATAACTCACATGCTAGAAATAGCAGATAAGATTACACATAGTCCTTTGGCCTTAGCAGCATTTTTCCATAGGTCTTACCGCTGACACGTCATCACTAATCTTGTTTTCCATTTCTAGAGAGCATTTTATAAATAACCACGTTGATTCTACAGCCAACACAGTGACACAGCATTGAGCTGTTATTTTTAGTTAAGTGCTGAGCTGAATATTCTCTCAAAACATAAAAAATAAAGCTCACAGCCAGTCTTATGGGGCTTCTTGTTAATATTTAGTGAGCCAACAGATTGCTTCCCACTTACCCTTGCTTTTATTGATGATGAATTTAAATGTATGATGAATAAATGTGCCGTCACTAAAATATCTCCTTTAGGAAAACAGAAATATATTATAAGAGTTAGCAGAAACGAAAGCGCTGCATTCTTCTATTCACTGCTGTATGTATCTTCGTGGGCTAGGCACTACCACAAAAACAGCACTGAGTAATATGAGAATAACTTTCTTCATTTTTTTCAGATTGATATCTACCATTTTCTAATCCTACATTAACAACTTATCCACTTCTCTAGGCTGGCTCAATGAAAATAAAGCTGCATTGGACAGGTTGTTTACTTGTATAGGGTTTAAAATTTATGAAGCTTCACTATATATAAAGATAATGAAGAGTCTGAAGGAAAGTTGCTGAATCAGAAAACAGAGCAAAATAGGGAAAAAAAGCAAGAAATAAAAAGCCTGAGGTCACTGCATCTTTAATTCTTACTCTTACACACTGTAATTAACTAGTGCTCAGCATGCTGTTATGGATCTGACTCTCCCATACCTTGGCAAGATAAAGGACAAGTCACGGTAGTTATCTGTTGCAAAGTACCTGTCATATCCTGGACACAAACCAAAGAACAATTCTATTCTTCACTTTGTCTAAATTCAGTTCCTACAGATAAGCAAAGGACAAAGAAATAGCATAGCTGCCATTTGTTGGTCAGCTGGCTTGACGTCATACAGAAAGAGAAACGTTCTGAATGGATGTAGGAGCTGAATGTCACATATTCATTAGAAAAAACAGTATGTTTCAATACTGTTGTGCACACAGCCCTAGCCAAATAGCTAGATCTTTACATATCTGAAATACTACAAGCATACTAGGATCAGGTCACAGCCATATTTCACAACCATGATTAAAGACACTTAGGTGAAATGGCGTAGAAGTGGCTCATTTTCCGAGTAACAAGGTCACAACCAGATAATGGAGAGAAACCTGAGGACACAAGAAAGCATCTCCCACTTCCTGCAAAAAAACTGTAACTCAGGCACATCCCACAGCCCAGGCTCACAGATTGTGCTGATGTGATGAGGCCTCTTGAGACCTCTGCGCTACTGTGCTCTCAAAACCAAACCACTGCACAAAGCATCAAGACGATAATCCAGAAGAGAGCATGCACAGAGTAAGACGGGTCTGGGAAGAACAAGTTATTTCCATTCCTTCAGGATTCAACAAATGCATGCTACAATTCCCCAGCCATGTTCCTGTTTCACTTGCTCAGATGCTCCCTCCACACAAGTCCCATTCACAAATCTTCTTTGCTTCACTGCAACACCGTAGGCCCAACAGACATATAGGTACGTGGTAACTAAACCACAGCACACAAGGGACACAGCACACAGCCTGGCATAATTTGTACTGGCAGGACAGTCTCTCTTCCTTTGATAATGAACATCCTGCTTTCTTTTTATTCCATCATGAGGCTGCATCATATGTCACTATTTTGCAAAGTTAGGGACAGTAATTACAAATAAAGGAGGCACCCTTAAGCAGAAGAAAAAAAAAATTATTAAATGAAATAGAAGAGATTATGTAATGAAATGAATGAGATTATGAAATTATTTCTATTACTTAGGAAGAAAAAAATACAGAAGACAATTTCCTTCACGTTTGCCTAATGATTTTTTTGTCAAATGTAATGGTTATCCCACAGAAGTTTTACAAAATTTATTAACATTCACAAAATTCATTTAACTCACTCTTTAAAAATGTGTTTTTGTTAATAAAAAGGACAGCTAATGGCACAGATATAAACACAGAAACCAGGTGATTGGGTACAGGGATGAGATATGAATGCTGGCTATAAAAAGCCTAAATATTTCAAACTAACATTCAAGCCAGCTGAACATGCATGAATCTGGATACACAGTAATGGTTTTTTATTTTATTTTATTTTTTTCAAAATACACTTCATACTTTACAATTACAGTTTACTTACCAAAGACATAGACCTATCAGGCAGTCCACAGTTTGCACGTGTGCTCACTGGAGTGCTGGGCTGGCTGGATGTACTGGTTGTATCCTTGGGTTCTTGACGTTCAGGGACAGGCTCATACAAGCTGTCCATTGAACCCTCCTAAAAAAGATTGAAACAGACTTATAAAGATGAATACTTGTAAATCCACTTAAAATCAAACAAAAACATTCATTTTGCGTGATTTGTAAAATATAAAGGCTGATTTTCCTCCATTATCTTTCAAAAAACTTAATTTCCTCTCCCTGTAAAAAACATAATGTTTATGGTAAATACCAGAATTTTGGAGTTCACAGTATCAAAACACAGATTTCACAGACTGGCAGGAATAAATATGAAAGTACAGTGAAAATGAGACTTACCTGCTCAGAAGGAATTAAATCTGCATTGAATATTTTCCCAGTGAATTTTAATCACTGACTTTAACTGCATTAATTAAGGAATAAATAAAATTTTTCGCAGAATAATACAATTGAAATTAATGTGATATATTATATAAAAACATTTATTCCTCTAGCACAGAAGATAAATACATATGCAGATTCGAAGCTAGGTTGCTGATACACAATTTTTGACCTGCTGGCCACACTCCTTTTAATGCACTCTGGAATCCCATTGGCCTTCTTGGGCACAGCTGGCTCACGGCCAACCTATCATCCACCAGGACCCCAAGGTTCTTCTGCACAGAGCTCCTCTCCAGCAGCTCATGCCTCAACCTGTACTGTTACTTGTGGTTTTTCCTTCCCGGGTGCAAGACTTTACACTTGCTTTTGTTAAACCCCATCTGGTTTCTTACTACCCAGCTCTCCAGCCTGTCCAGGTCTTGCTGAATGGCAGCACAGCCTTCTGGCACGTCAGCCACTCCTCCCAGCTTTGTATTGTCAGTGTATTTGCTGAGGGTGAACGATATCTCCTCATCAAAGTTGACAATAAAGACACTGAACAAGACTGGACCCAGCTCCAACCCCTGGTGAGCACTGCTAGTCACAGGTCTCCAACCAGACTCTGCACTGCTGATCATCACACTCTGAGCTTGGCCAGTCAGCCAGTTCTCAATCCACCTCACTATCCACTCATCTATCCCATGCTTTATCAGCTTTGTTAGGATGAATGAAAGATAAAGCACTTGATCCTGTAGCGAGGACTGCAATTCAGATGGCTTCAAGAACATCACTGATTTTGTGGGACTGCTTTCTAAATTTCTAAAATATCAAATAAAAACACAGGAACCAAATAGAAGAACAGAGAAGTCATACATCTCCTGTTTATTCAAACAGCAAAATGTACTTTGTGTCTTTTCTAGTTGGACCTACAGAGCAGCTTCTGGGAGGCCACTCACAGGAAGAGCATTGCCTGTGCACACAGCTACTTCCTTACAGAAGCTGTGCAATTGAAATAAAAGAGCATTTGCAAGAAATTGTGACAGAATGGGAAGAGATTGCTATTTCCTTGTTAATGTTGCGCAGAAAATGATTTCCACTCCTATCTGGAGAACCTGAGGGACACCATGGAGTCCAGAAGGGAGCAATTCAGGGGACCAAACAGGGAAGGGAAAGCAAGGTCTGGACAAGGAGTGATCCCCTTCAGGTACAGTTTTATTTGCTCCTTGACTCAAGCGAAAATACTCATGGCTCTGTGCAGGATCAGCAGCAAGGGCAGGTCAGCAACACCTGCTCTGGCTGCTGCACCAGATGGGCCATAGGCACTGCACAGTGATGTCACCATGATGACACTTGGGCACCACAGTGATTTTTGAGCCTCTCCCCCTGCAACCCCTTGACAGTTCTGTGGGATTTCACTTACCAGCTGTCAGGGCAAAGGGCAGCTCCCTGCAGAACTGGCTGCAAGCACAACCACAGACTGAGACAGTAGGCATTGAAAGGGAGCTGCCTGCAGTAGGAACTTCTGGTTTGGATCCAGAGGGTCCGGCTGTGTCCTCAGGCTCTCCTTCTGATCTTCTGGGTCAGGATAAAGGAACAGCCTGGGCATCAAATATGGATGAAAAGGATGCACTAACTTATCCTCATCAGGAGGAAATCAAATGTATAGTTCATGCTTCTTACAAGGAGAGCACGTGCAGAGGCACTATTATCTCCGCAGCCTCTACTTTTCCTGAGAAACTCTGGGTGCTGGTCGAAAGTCACCAATTTAAGAGCATTTGGTGGGGTCAGAATGGAAGCTGCATTGTAATTGACCAAGAAATGTTTGAGATCGAAGTACTGGGAAAGAAAGGATCTTTGAGAGTCTTTGGGACAGAAAGCATGAAAAGCTTTATTCGTCAGCTTAATGTGTACGGATTCACAAAAGCACAGCTTGACTCCAAAAGATCTCCCTCGTTTCCCAAGTTTCTGGCAGAGGAAGAGGCATTTGTGGCTCACAGGAAGGTACATCAGCTGCTCCACACACGACCCAACTCATAATATTCTTCTGGAAGAGATGGGAGGGTCCAATAAAATAAGCCTTGGTAACAGAGGACATGAGGATGACAGGAAATGTTCTGATACTAATTTCTTCCTCTGGGTGTTTGCAGGAATTTTAGAGGTAGCATTGCTGAGTACTGGAAATGTGGGAAAAATACATTTGGGTTTTATCCAGTGAGTCTGAACCCATAGAACAGAAAGATAAATAAATGAGGGTATGAAGAGTCTATTACTTCAACATATGTTGCTTTAGTCAGCCTAAGTTTAAAATGACAGATATTTTAATACCCATGTTTGTCTTTAGCAATTAAAAGTTGAAGTTTCTGTATCTCGCTGTCTTTCAAATCACAGCTCTTCTCCTTTGTATTTTCACTTACTTTGCTACTACAACCCAAACTTCAGGAAAGATTACCCAGAGCTGCTGGAACTCTGCAAGCGCAGAGTTGCCCAAAAGAGAAGAGCTGTGGCTGCCCCCAGTCCACAGGAAGAGCTGAACAAGGGGCCTCCAAAGGGCAACCCAGATGCCCAGCCCATGGAAGGATTGGCTTCTGGGCCAGAGAAGAGCCTGCTGGCAGCAGATCCACAAGCAGGCACACAGACAGTGCCATCCATGGGGCCTCCTCCACCCAAGCAACCCAAGAAAGCCCCTGCCTGAGCCCAAACAGGCAGTGCTCCAACTCCACCAGACCCTCTGCTGCTGCACCAGAGAAGGAAGAGTGCCAGCCTCTGGCCCCCTCCCCTCTGCCACTGAGCAGCAGCCCCATCTTGGGTGCCATTTCAGCTATTCCAGTTTACAACACTCTGCCCTTCAAGGCACCCACTTTTACTCCTGGCTCAGTGTGGCAGGCATTTGCCCAGCCCCCACAGGAATCAGAGCTGCAGGATCCAGGGGCTGCCCTGCATTACCTCAGCCAGTGCTTTGCTGTGGCCATGTTGGTAGCAGCCAAGATGACATCAGCTAACTGGGGGCCCTGGGCAGTCTCACATTGCCCAACATGCACCTGTGGCTCTGATAGAGCAGACGCAGGAGAGTGTCCAGGCACCCTAGCATGGAACCCACTGCACTGAGCAGGAACAGCAGCACCCATTTATAGGTTTATAACTTTATACTTCATAGATAGATATTTCTGGAAATAGGATGTTAGAATAATATACCCTTTCTGTTGCCATGTCCTTTTCATTTACTCGTTCAGGTGAAATCTCAGATCACATTTTTATTTTGTCTTCAAAAAGAAACAATTGTTCTCTAACATCAAATTAACAATTTTCTGTAACAGTGAAGCTCTAGACCCTTAGTCATAGAGTAAAAGATTGGATGATGTTTGCATGGTGCGTGCACTGAGAATGCTCTTCTTAATGACTTCTGAGGGAAAGTAGAGACAAATTAAACAGCAGCTTTTTAATTATTGAAGACTCAGAAAGAGAATGCCACCTTTGTAGGATGACTGCTCACAAGATACTGCTCTACACTGTCAGGCAATAATAACTCTTGGTTTAATTTCTGGGCTAACATTTACCAAGGGACTGAGAAACCAAGTGCTTTGGAGAGGCCTTCTCTGGAAAATAAGAGAACACTGTTCAGAAGACCTGGGAAGATATTTGGCCTTTCTTGTTACAGAAAGGTTATAATGGATATAAATTTGGCAACTCTCTTATATTTTTAAATCTCATTTATTTAACATCCTAAACCCAATGTATTGTACCAAGAAGGCAGTGCAAGAAATAACCGAAGACAGCCTAAGGCAGCATTGCCACAGACTGACTGCTGCCCTGGATTTTGCACATCCGCATAGTGAGCAGGAAAGCTGAAAGCAGGCTTTTGGGGGGTTAGTTTCAGAGCAGATCATTTCTCTCATCAAGTGCACCACTGGATCAAAACTGCCTTGATGACCAAATGTTTGGCAAGAGAGAATTTGAGTGGAAGAGAAGTGAAATGCAGAGGTGAAACAAGAAGACAGACTTCTTAACCCTTCTTTGGACACTCTACAATAGTTTTACATCCTTCTTATATTTTCAACTTGGATACAAATTATGAAACAACATACATGTGAATCAAGTCATTAAAATATTTTAGCACAGCTTTCAAGAATGAATTTATTACAATATTGTTATTAGATATGTGAAAATACAGTACATGATGTTGCTGTTGGAGTTGGAGCTGTTGGAAGCATACAAAATGTATCAGCATCATCCAATATAGTCACTTTAATAGATCTGCTGATCATGTGAATAAACAGAAATGGAGGGGCAAAAAGAGTTCTGATGATTTTGTTAGAAAAGAGCATATTTTTCTCTCAGGCAATATCAGTATAAGAAGGTAACTGCACTGAATGAAACTTTCTTTGTTTTCACAGTAGTTTTAAGTCTTAAATGTATCATCATCTAGAAAAATATTTCACTGCTTTTACCTGCACCATTATACTCTTTAAAAATATCACTGTCTTGTGGTCAGTGAAAATGGCATTAGCTATAATTCTCAAAAGTGCTGGCATACATCCTCAGTGAAAGTACTGTTTCCAAAATATATTGAACTTTTGCATTTCAGATCTAATATGAAGGAAATGAACAATATGGGATTCCAATCTCTGCACAAAACAACCAAAATTGTAAAACATTAACCTTACATATGCACACTATATAACTTCCAGATCTTTAAAAGTTACTTAGATATTCCCAAATAAT